GTTATTTTATGAAAAACTTTCAAAACGCCGCGCCGAAAAAATCAGGCGCTGTGCCTACCATGCGCGCTCCCGCACCCCCGCGCTGTCCCCACTACACGTGCCGTTGGCCTGTTACAACAAATCACCCATATATTACGGAAACGTTCTATTGAGTGAATCTGTTTCATTTGTTGTTCCACCAATAATGTTTCAGCAAGTATACTCGTGTTGTTTCATTATGTATAGATCAAATGTTGCAGTGAATTGAAACATATTTTCGCTATTTGCTGAAACATTGTTTTTATATACGGTGAAACAACTTTAAAAACCGTTGTTTCATACGTTGTAGTAAAATGTTTCATGAGGTGATTTGGTTGTGTTTTAGTTTTTTAAATGATTGAAACATTTTCTATCTACTTAGTGAAATAATTCTGATCTACTTGGTGGAACATCGCCCGGTTTTTGCAAAAAAAAAAAAAAAAATCGGGCGCCCGATTTGTAGGCGTCTCGCACTATGTGAAATCCTCCTCGGGGATAATAATATTATTATCTCTCGGCAGACCTACCTAAACTGGCTTTACGTGTAGCTTACCTTTGATCATTGTTCGTGTTTTTTTTGTATAAAGTGTGCAATAATCTGACTGCAGCTCGAGTTGATCGTACCTTTTAATAGCCGGCCGTCATGGTGGCGACGACTCAACAATCACATGGTCCCTAAGATTAACCAAAAATTCTTTAAATCGGGGTGCCCGATGCGGGCGCGCATGCATCGGGCGCCCGTGCCTACACCGCGCCTCCACGCCGAAAAAATCGGGCAACAGTCCTCCTGTGCGCGCTCCCGCGCCCCCGCGTCGTCCCCACCACGCGCCCCACCACATGTGCCGTTGCAACAAATCACCCCACATATCACGGAAACGCTATATTAAGTGAATCCGTTTCATTTTTTGTTCCACCAGTAATGTTTCAGAAAGTATACTCATGTTGTTTCATTATGTATAGATCAAGTGTTGCGGTGAATTGAAACATCCTTTCGCTATTTGCTGAAACATTGTGTTTTATATACGGTGAAACAGCTTCAAAAACCGTTGTTTCATATGTTGTAGCAAAATATTTCGTGAGGTGATTTGGTTGTATTTCAGCTTTTTAAACGATTTAAACATTTTCTATCTACTTAGTGAAATAATTCCGATCTACTTGGTGGAGCCGTGCATGATTTTTGAAAAAAAATGGGTGCCCGATTTGTAGGCGTCTCGGTTATTTTAGCCGCCCCCTACCTTAGATCATTGTTCGTGTTTCCGGCATAAAGTGTCCAATAATCCGACACTGCAGCTCTGTCGACGGGGGATACCCGTAGACCGGATATAGAGAGTATTGGGGTATGTTGGAACGAGGATCTACGTAATACGACATCAAGCAAATGAAAGACAAGATTATACTGGTTTAGGCCCCTTGATAGGTAATAGCCCTAATCCAGTTGGTATGGGATTATATGATGGAAATCACAAATTACAAAGGGAATAATGGAACTCGATGATACCGACGAGACCGTAATCGAGTTGGTTCGACTAGATCACCCGGCGACTTGGCTCCTGTAGGCTTCGGCTTCGTAGGCTGTGGTAGATGTGTTGGCGGTGAGATTTGATGCCCTCAGTCCTGCCCAGGGGGTCCCTTTTATATCGCGGATCAGTTGGTCTCCAAGTATAACTCGGAGATATCGGACCCCTCACGATATGGCAACGACCCAGTTCTGTCCGAGTAGGACTCCTTCCATCTGTGAACTCCGTTTCTATCACGTGATAGATTTCCTTAACGTACGCAGAAAATATCCGTATACGCGCGGGTATACCGTATCAGTATACAACGTATATCTAAGGATAGAGGGTATACCTTATCCGTAACTCTGACAAGCTCGAGTTGCTCGTATATTTTAATAGCCGACCGTCGCCGTGGCGACGACTCAACAATCGCAAGGTCTGTAAGATTAACCGAAAATTCTTAATATTGGAATAATACATTATTGAACCGTAATACCGGATATAACATATCTTTCAATTTACATGTTCACGTTAAAAGAAACAGAAAAGGAGATAAGGTATTACAAACTGAGGGACACATTATATCTGGTGCTGTGGTTAAGGGAAGAGATTCAAACTCAACGTCAAACATGAGGGATGTAAAGTAAACATATTTCTATTACGCGCGGTACGATTTGGACTTACGTGCGGCCCAATCGATTGCGTTTGTTCTGAACGGCCCATGGAAGCCCACTATTGCTGCTCCCTTGCTCCCTATAAATAGCTAGGGTTTTACGCCACGGCGCACGCCTCCACCGCCGCCGCCGCAGCCGCCCCATTCTCCAACCCTAGCCGAGAGGAGCAGATCAAGCAATGGTAAACCTCGCAGCCGCCGCCGCCGCCGCGGCCTCCTCATGGCTTCTCCATAGCTCTAACGTGGTGATCTTGTTGTGGCTCGCAGGGTAAGGGTACGGGCAGCTTCGGCAAGCGCCGGAACAAGACGCACACGCTCTGCGTCCGCTGCGGCCGCCGCAGCTTCCACCTCCAGAAGAGCACCTGCTCCTCCTGCGGTTACCCCGCCGCCCGCATCCGCAAGTGTAAGCCTCCTCCTCATGATTCGGTTTCCCCACTAGATCTTGTATTTGCTTTTGGGTTGCCATGTAGATTTGATGATGATTATACTGCGCCTAGATGAGCCAATTAATGGGTAGAAATCGGGGCTTCTCAAGCTGAGATGCGTTCTCCTACCTGAACCCTCTTTGTAGAGCGTGGCATTTCCGGCATTTTGATGGAAATGAAGAAAACTTTGGTCTCATTTTTATTTTTATTGTATGTATTGGGCATTATCCATCCTCTTTTGATCTGTGGTCCTGACAAGTGATTTACCTGCTCGGCTGCGTTGATCTTAACTGAACAAAATTTAATGTGTTGTTTGTACACATGTTTTTTTTCACAAATGATTATAAGCTAAAATTCTTGCTTGGAAAACATAAGGATGACCATTTTCGTATGAAAACTTAATTCTGTTTATGAGGGTCAGGTGATGAGGTTTTAACTGCAACAATATGATGGGAGCTTAGCTCCTGTGATTCCTATGTATTTAAGTCTCTGATGATCCTTCAAACATATTTTCCTTTTGAAAGGCTCTTGAAAACGGTCAGTATTAACGTACAAAATTCAAGCACTGATATATCTCATATGTCGTAATTGATCACAAATACTATGTTTTTTCTTTGCATTTGATTTCCCAAATGATTTTGCTGTCTTACAAAAAAAATGCTATGAGGAATCATGAAAACTTTCGCATGTCAGACTTCAGAGATGCCATGGCATCAATGAGAAGATGTTTTCATTTTCTGAGCTTATATTTTATTCAGGCTATCACATTTGATTAAATGATTTGTGCAGTGGTTATTTAGACTTTTGGAAATTTGTAACACTTTGAAGTTTTGTACCTTCACTGTGTTTATGTATTTCCATGTTGCCTGCTTCTGTCATGAGGCAGGCTCAAGTGATGAGAGAAAAACTGCAACAATATGATGGGAGATATGCTCCTGTGATTCCTAAGTATTTAAGTCTCTGATGTACCCAATGCACATAGTTTTTTCTATAAGTACTCAATTTTCCCTTTCTTATGTTTTCTTTCGACATATCCTCTAACCTTATATTTTATTTATTCTGTTTTCTTTTTCTTTTCTGAGATCAGGCAATTTTATTATATTTGCTCTTTTTCAACCTTCAGTTCAAACATATGGCAATTCTATTTGTCATTCTGTTCACCATTATGTCAACTTGCTCCTGCTGCTGCCTTGTTTAATGTATGGTAGCCAGTACTTGGTTGAGTTGTTTGGTTTGTAATGTAACCATTTAAATTCGTATCATTGCATATATGTTTCCTTGCATCGTTCATTTAATACCAAATACACATTAAATGAAAACATACTTAGTTTGAGTTGTATTGTTTGTGGTTAGCCTCTAAATCTCTAGTTAGATTCTGTGGTTGAATTTCTTTTGTCTTTTTGGATTTGCTTAGTTTTAATTTCTGCGATGTCATTTCAGACAACTGGAGCGTGAAGGCCATTAGGCGCAAGACCACAGGAACCGGAAGGATGAGGTACATGCGACATGTGCCTAGGAGGTTCAAGAGCAACTTCAGAGAAGGTGTCTGAAACTTTTCTGATGTTTTAAATATCATGGGAAATGTTAATTGCGTTAAAAATAGCAAAGTTGTTTGGATTCATTATGTTCCTTTTGTTCTATCGATTCAGGTACTGAGGCTACCCCAAGGAAGAGAGCTGCCGTGGCCAACTAGATCCGTTTTGCTATGAAAGCAGCTATGAAACTAGAATTTAAGAACTTTTGCCTGGATTGTGCCATCTCTCCTATAATATGATGTACTGATCTGATTTTATTTGTTACGGTGCTTGAAAACTTGACATCTGAAATATCAGTCAGTTGAACCTCTCGTATTTTTGTTTCATACCATGTTCGTTGATGTCTGCAAGTGTCCATGTTAGCGGTGTATTTTATTTTGTTCCATGGTGTCTCCGCTTGTTTTCTGCTGCCATTCAACTAATTTTAGGGCATGTTTGGCACAACTCCAACTCCGGCACCACCTTATCTAGAGCTGGAGCTTAACCAAACAATTTCAACTCCACCTAAAATGGGAGTGGAGTTGGGTGGAGCACTGTCACAAAATGAACCAGAGGGGGAGCTGGGTTTAGGCTGCTCCATAACTCCACCCTAACCTAACTCCTAGAGCTAAATTTAAGAGTTGGAGCTCTAACAAATAGGCCCTTAGGAAATCTCCTGTTGTCCCTCTTGGGAACTGACACCAGGATTCACAATTTCGATCGGTTTTGAAAGCCATTTTGTTTTAGTTAAAAGCAGAATGGGACTGGTTTTCATCTCGAAACGGTATGTAAAACCTGACTACCATCCTCAATTTCCAGTTTAACTGGACCAATTTTACTAATTTCTTAAATGTAATTTTACTAACAAAGTTGCTTCGGGAAGTGTTGCGTTCATTAGCAAAAACTAAATTTGAAAGTATATTAGCTAGGATGTAACTACATCTAGCATGTGAAATACAGTTATCAGCTAAAACTGACTTGGAGTAAAATGTACCCCAAGAAATACAGTTTGGCGGAAGCTAAAAATTACAGTGCAAGTCATGCGATAAACTGTTATCACGGATGTGGAATGTTGTTCAGCGTGACAACATTTCGGAATCTTCGAGCAAACAAATGCATATGTTTGTTACAACCAGGTTAGTCGAAAGAAACATGAAACAGAGAACGAAGGCGCGTAAAATGCAGCTTCAGCCAGGCAATGCTTCACCTTCACTGCTCAGTCGAATGATATATTCAGATTTTCATACGGATGGATGCCTGCCTGGACGGCGGATCCCTTGGTGGCGGTCGCCGCGTTCTGTGCCGCCTGCGCCACCTGCTCACCAGTCTACATTCTCACGAGAAAAGATTAGAGAAGTTTAGAATAGTCACCTATTAGCTCCAAATTATATATAGTCAATCTAATAGCTTATCCATAAAATATAGTTACTTATAAGTGTATATTACACTATTATAATATATGATTACATCTTTCATACACACACAACACAACGGCGTTCTCTCGTGGCAAGGGATGGCACCAGTCATACCTATGCCATGCCCAAAGTAGGTAGAGTATTCGAGCATATGGCCATCTCAGCCTTGATTTCAGATGCTAATTATGTGATTAGTTAGTTGTATTTCATTTGGTACAAGCTTATTCGTTTAATTAACAGGAGATAAAGACCTATAGTGGGACTGCCTTGTGTCTGCACAAATGAATGAACAAATCTAGCTAACAACAAAATGTTAATCGGTAAAAATTGAATGTTAAAGAATATATGTGTAACTTCAATGAATGTCTACTTATTATGAATAAACACACCTAGAAAACAAAACAGAGAAACACTCGTGGAAATGTAGTTTAGTTGTAGAAGTTATACGACGAATTTATAAGGCTTCAGTTGTAAAAACTGCATGACAAATTTAGGATTATAATCATCCTTAATGGCATATATTCTAATAAGTGCTGACATATTATAGTTTGTGTATAATAAAATGTTGCTTCATTTTTAAAATACCATGCAGTTAGTTCTGGTGTGATGATCCACCATAGCTAAATTTTAGTGCTAGATCTGCCATTGACACAACATATTAAAGTCCATGCTACAAATCTGTAGTCCTCTCATCTTTTATTTTTTTTCCGCATGTGTTTATATTTGACTTATTTTTTTCCGCATATATTTATAAGTGACTTGCAGCCTACTATGATACTTGCTCTAATACACTTCCCTGATTGATGGTTACAACTAGCACTTGCATACGGCCCACGGCCCTAGGCTGTCACTGCCAAGAAATTCGAGTCACCAATGGGCCGTATTGCAGTGTAATATCTCCGTCTCAAATTATTTACTCCCTCCATCCACAAAAGTTACACCTATTTCACATTTGATTTTTTTCAAATAAGTTGTTCCTATTTGTAGTCTTTATGCATTCAAGACTTAAATGAAGAGATAAATTAAATGTTTTATTAGAACCCAAGGAGTCATCTAAATACTCATTGGTTGCATGCTTGTATTCACTCCTTGATTTTACAACATCCGAGGTGATTTAATTTCTCCTTGGTCTTGGTGTTAAAAGTAATATGTATAACTATTGTGGATGGAGGGAGTATTTTTTAAGGTTGTTTGGCATATCCTAAAGTTTAAAACAAATGACTATAATACCCTTATAAAATAATTTATGGTTAAGAACAAATTACTATAAACTTTATAAAATAATTTATGGTTGATGATAGAAAGGTGGTTGAGAGGTATAACAGTGAAAATTTTGAATGGAATGTGGATGGCGCCGGCGGCGTCCGTCACCGCCTCCACCGCACGTCGCGCCTGGTACTGCGCATCCACAAACCTCACACCACCACCATCACTAGCTCAACAACAATAAAAAAAAAGTGCAGTAATCAATCAAAACGATGATATATAATTCACCTCGCCCTCGGCGTGTGCCTTCCCGGACTCGAAGGATCGCTGGATGTTGCTCCACACGCCTGCTGCCGATAGATGATTTGTTGATTGATTACTTTCTTTCTGCTAGCAGTGTAAATCTAGACGAAAAACAATCTTCTTGCCTGCTTTGTTATATCCTGATTCGATTTGTCAGGATTTTGGGTGGCGATCCGTGAATCAATCTCCGCTAGCTAGCTCATTCTTAAGTTAGATGGCCCATAAATAGGAGCTGTAATCTTTTCCTTTACATCCCATGGTTTTAATCTTATAATTTTTCTTCTGCTCTATCAATAAAATTTCGCACCGTCTTATGCGAGTCGTTAAAAAAATAAGAAAAAAGTACGAATTATCCCTCCCCCTGAACAATTGCGGTAGTACGATTTACCCCCTAAACTACAATACCGGACATTTGACACCCCAAACTCTTAAAACCGGATAAATTATAACCCTAACTTGATTCAAAGCGGTTTTAAGCCTACGTGGCACACACGTGGCGATACACACAGCAAAAACCGCTGGGACCCACCTGTCAGTGTTTTTTTTCCTCTCCTTCTCTGCCTTTCTCTCTCGGTGAACAGAGGAGGCGGCCGCGGGCGGCGGGCGAGGAGCTGAGGCCGGCGCGGAGCGAGTGCGCGGAGGCGGCCGCGACCAGCAGGCGAGGAGTCGAGGCCGGCGGCAGGCGGGTGTGGAGGCGGCTGCGGGTGGCGGGTGAGGAGCCGATGATGGCAGCCGGTCGAGGCGGAGGCGGGTGCGGGTGGCGGGTGAGGAGCCGAGGACGGCAGCCGGAGGGGGCGAAGGCAGGGTGACGGGCAAGGAACCGAGGACGGCGGTGGGACGTGGAGTGAGGCGGTGGCGGGATCCTCCTTCCCCTCTATCGCAGCGGCGCGGGCTCCTCCTTCCTCCTCGTCTCGTGCCGCCGCCCACTGACCGCCTGCTGTGGACAGTTCGTCCGTCTCGGCTTCCTCTCTGCGGTGTGGGCGCGAACGGCAACGACTCGGTGGTGGCGGCGGTAGTGGGGGAGAGGCCCATGGGGGCGGCGAGGGTCGTCGCTGCCCTGTACGACGGTGGCGCTCGCGCTGTGGCTGGGTGGCATCCGAGGAGAGGGGGGGGGGTATGATAGGTGGGCCCAAGAAGGGTTTTTTTTGGCTGACTGGATTGCTATGTTGGCGCCACGTGTGCAAGCTCAATTCAAAACCGCTCAAAACAGTATTGAGGAGGGTAATTCGTCCGGTATTAAAAGTTTAGAGTGAGTAATATCTGGTTTTCGGATTTAGAGGGGTAATTCGGTCGACCGCAATAGTTCAGGGGGGGCGATAATTCGTACTTTTTCCAAAAAATAAATAAATAGGAGCTGCAATATTGGATTGGAGAATATGAATATTCACATGGCCCTTTCGAAAGCTTGGTTTTAATCCTGTTCATCTTTTTCATTCTTAATTTTCCTACTCGGATAAATAAATAAGAGTAATTAACCGAGTGGGCTGTTTATTCACATGCTTTCAAATTGCTTACATTAATCTACATTATCTATGTCTAATCCTTACAGAAAATGGTTGGTTGGTTGGTTTGTTACAAGCTCAAAATTCTTACATTTTTTAGAATAATCTACATACATGAACAAATCATTAACATGCAGCAGGGCCGGGTCCTCAGGCTCAGGCCTAGCCCAATACGGAAGGCCGTAGGCCCGAAGGCGAACAGATGCGCCACCAGAACGCGCACCGGCGCACGCGCCATGCCGCGATTGCCACCGCCTGCCGCCCACGTCTTCTGATCTCCTCCTCCTCACGGCGCCGAAATCGCGTGCAATCCCCAGGTCCAGAGGCCACGCATCGGCGCCGACTCCGCGGCTCACGGCTTCCCGTTTTCCGCTGCTCCGCGCGACGGCAGTAGCCAGTAGGCCACGAGGTGCTGGTGCAGCCGCTGCCGGTTGCCTGCCGCCGGCTCCCGGCTGCCCCCTCGAGATTGGACAAGGAGGATTCTATTCAGGTGAGTGCAACACCAATACATCAATACATCATCACTAATTTTGTAACATTGTGATTATATCTGTTAACATGTAAATAGCTATATATGTGCCCGTGTACTGATGTATAGTCCTATATTAGGGCAATTCAGTTGTCCCGATAGTTGGACAAACTGACGAAGGCACTAGTTGTGTTTCCGGCTCATTTGCGGTGCGCATCTGGACGCTCGCGATAAACTATTTGGTAAGATTCTAAATTTAGATTTGTAATTTTGTAGTGTAATTTATATGAGTTAAAGTACTATAATAACTTTTGAGGTAACATATGTTTTTTATATAAATATTATTTCTAAATGCAATTTAAATGTTAACATTAATAATTCAGTATATGTATCTATTGATTATTATTATATAGTATGAAAGGGCCTCTATATTTACTTTCGCGCTAGGGCCCTGAAAAGTTAGGACCGGCCGTGTTAACATGCACCGCAGAAAAAAAGAAAGAAGAAAGAAAATTAAAAGAAAGAAGAAAGAAAATGGACACAGCTAGCTTGCTCTTTTTTTTTAATGGAACCAACACGAGAGTGTGCCTTTTCATTGAATATAGTGGGAGAAAAATACAGCCCCTAGGGGCAAAGAAAAGGCAAAAACCAAAAACTGTACACTATACAAGGTGCGGGATAAGCTCGCGCAATCTCTTAGCACCCGCTAACGCCCACATGCCAGCTTATTCTTTTATTTTTGCAATGAGGTACATTAATGTTGTGGCCTCTTTGTGCTCAAAGATTCGCCGGTTGCGCACATTCCATATTTCCCAAACAATGTGGAGGATCAGGGTGCGTAACCCCTTCTTGGGGATGCCCGCCGAAGCGGCTAGCATTTCCCACCAATCTTTGATTGTCTGGGTCATCTCCCAATGCCAGAGATTGAGCTGAACCCAGTCCGCTACCAGTCTCCAAATCCTTTTGGAATATCGACATTCCGCAACGAGGTGAAACGCCGTTTCATCCTCTCCCCTATAGAGGGGGCGCTGCCCGTTGTTCTGCCATCCCCTGTTTGTGAGCCGGTCAGAGGTCCATACTCTATTCTAGATGATGAGCATGCATGAAGCTTACATTTTCCAGACACCCAAGCTCTCCAAATTAATGGGTCAAAGGTCGTGTCAAGCGTGCCAATGCACTGTGCTTTGTAGGCTGACGAAGCCGAGTACTACCCGTGAGTTGTGAACTTCCATGTGATTTGGTCTGGTTCTCCTTCATCCAGATGCATGCCATGGACTGCGATCCATAGTGCCACGAGCTATTCCACAAAAGTCGCCGTGATTTGCGGGTTTGTCTCCGAGACCAAATCTCCGATCCAGTCATCGTTTTTCTTCTTGGAGATTGCATAGAGGCATGACGTCTTTTGGGCCTGCGGCCGTCCAGCTAGCTTGCTCCTAGCTAAGCGTACGTAGTCGGAGACTCGGAGTCCGGCGTCGTGCTGAACACCGGCTTGTCCTTGTCCACAACCACCGCCGCCGCCGGAGTGGGGGCTTGGGCGGCGGCTGGTCGCCATAGCTTCTTCACGGCGATCACGGCGCGCGTGCGGGGGAGCTGATCGGCCTTTTTAGACTACACCGGTGGCGCCCATGCCCACCATGGAGCACAACCCGAAGCACGGCGGGAGCACGCCGCCGCACAGCCCGGCATTGCCGTCGAGCTCGTCGGGGTTGATCGACAGTGGGCAGTAGCTGCTGCTGTTACTGCTCCCTTCTGACAAGGGGATTATTGGTTCTTTGTTTGGCACATGTCCCCAGTAGAATGTCACTGCTATTACCACATCAGATTGAAGACAACAAAAGCAAGTAATTAAATGGGTTAATACAACTAAGGCTGCCAAAACTGTCAAGAGGATAAACTGCTAGTGGTTAGCGATTAGAAGTAAATTTGGACTGCTGGGTTGCCATATGTCTACAAGCTACAACAGGCGCACAAGGGAAAGGAGCACTTTATTCTATATTTCATCAAGCAAAAAACCCTTGCATGTTCAATATTCTAAAAATCGGCGCAGTCATCACCTCGGTGGTTTTTAGGTGCCTGATGGTGAGTCCCTGCTGCCCTAATTTTTCTCACCGTCGAGCACCTAGCTAACAGCCACCGATGCAGCAAGGGCTCTCAACGGCGAGAGATATGTAAGGAGAAAAATTAGGCCCTAATCGGCGTGCTAGGCAGGGTAGCCGCATTTACCTCTAACCACTACTACAAAATCCTAATAGGGGACGTGTGCAGATTTCTAAAAAACCATCACATTTAACCTCTTCACAATCTTCACATGAGTCTAAGATTAAAAAACGATACTGACATGCCTTTATAGGTGCAAGTTTAATTAAAAAAACCAGCACATATAAATACATGTGCTATTTTTTTTAAAAAAAATCAGCACCTAGAAGAATATATGAGTACCGGTTTTCTAAAAACCGACACGTTTGTGAAAGCCGAGCCGATGAAAACCGAGCTGACCTAATTTTTCTTCTCGCCCTCCTCACATATCTCTCACCATTCTCACTGCTCTCCGATCCCCTTTTCTGTCCTCGTTGCCTCCGCCACTCCTCCCCCTCTCTTTTGCTACCTCCTTGCCTCCGCCGACCCTCCCCCTCTCCTCCACCTCCCTTCCCCTGTCTTCCGTCGCCCCTTCTCCTCTCCTCCTCTCTGCTCGGGGACGGCCAGATCCGCCGCCGCGTGCTTAGGGACAGCCAGATCCGCCGCCGCACGCTCGGGGGTATCCGGATCCGCCACCACAAGCACGGGGCAGCCCATTTAACGACTACTGTGGCTCCCTCAACTCCCTCAACCACCGTGTGCTTGGGGGCGGCCGAATCTACCACCGTGCACACGAGGACGGCCTACTCACAACAGCGGCTTCCTCAACTCCCTCAATCGCCACAGGCACAGGGGTGGCTGCTCAACGACGACGGTGGCTCCCTCAACTCCCTCTTTGTGTTCTCCTCTGTGTTGTTAATTTTGCTCTTGAATGTTGATTTTATAATTGTGTTCTTGGATGTTGATCGATTTTAGGGATGATGGAGAGTTGCTTGATGCATCGGCTCGAATCGAGCAACCTTTGTTTTGGATTCGGGACTCTCAAAGATGTCGGTTCCTAAACTGGCACCTAAGATTCCTCCTCATCAGTGCCACCTATGAGGTGCCGGTTGGAAAATCTGGCACCTACGTAGGATTCCCAACTGGCACCCATTAGGGTTTATGTAGTAGTGAATGTTTAATTATTAGTATATATCTTGGTTTGAAAGTAAATAATTGTATGTAAATTATGTTTATGCAAAAGTTTTCAAAATTGAATTTGTTGAAACTCCTACCTTTCTCACCAACGAACAATAGGTTGGCACTTCCAAATGATGTTTTGCATGGACAAGATTGGTTGTGAATGATTGATCTACGAATGCTAAAAGGAAATTGTGCCTAATTAGGAGTTTGTAAGGCTGTTTTAGCAAGAGATAAATTCTTATAATCGCAAGAAAAAATCTGCACCTGATTTCTTACTCTTCTTGCCATATAGTACCTTTACATGTTTGACTGATTCCAAATTAATTCCCAAGACGCATAAGCTTTCCAATTAATCTATACTACTACTACAAAGATAAAATATATATAAAAAATGTCCTCCGTCCCATAATATATGTGCTTTTGGGTGGATGTGACACATTCTAAGACACATTCTAAAGAGGATGTGTCACATCCACCAAAAAATCCCTGAGTACTTTCTTAGTGTTTCTATATTATCTAAAAAAAATATGCTATTTGTTAATCTGCACTATATATTAACTGCAGGGTCATCGATCATCATTGGACACCAATTAAGCAACAGCAATGGCGTCGAGGAGCATATCAAGCTGCACAACTGAGACGGCAAAAGGCATCCACAGGTTCGAGATCTTCAGTTACAGCATGATGAACACCGAAGCCGAAGACGACTCCATCCGGTCCGGCGTCTTCAACGTAGGAGGATTCGATTGGGCGTTGCTTTACTACCCTGACGGCATCGACGACGACAGCAAGGGCTACATCGGCGTCTACCTCGAGCTGATCAGCAAGAACGGCGAGCCATGGGCACTCGTCGACGTGAATCTGATCAACCAGCTGCAACCCGGGCAACCTCGTCAGCTGTTCACCAAGACCGATGTGCCTACCCCGTTCAGATCTTCAAGCTTTCAGGAGTCTACCTTGGGGTCTCTCAAGTGCATGAAGAGGAGCGATATTGAGAGCACTCCAGGGTTCATCGTCAATGACTGCATCGTGATCGAATGCAATGTTACTGTCATCTATGAGCCAAAAGTGTCTAAAACCAGGGCATTGTGTGACGCTGAAACTAGTTCGGCATTGCGCGAGATCGAGGTGCCTCCTATGGAGATATCGTCGGATTTCGCCAAGATGTTGAAGGACGGTGTAGGAGCAGATGTGACATTCAGAGTTGGAGAAGACACATTCCGTGCCCACAGGGCGGTGCTAGCTGCGAGGTCTCCAGTATTTCATGCTCAGCTCTGTGGACCGATGAAGGAGAAGAAGGAGACACAAATGCAGGAGATAACCATCCAAGACATGCAGCCATCTGTCTTCGAGGCTTTCCTCTATTTCATCTACACCGATTGTGTTCCAAGAATGGATGATCTTGGCAATGGTGAGAAGATGCATTTGATGATGCATTTGCTTAAGGCCGGTGACCGGTATGGATTGGAGAGGCTCAGGATCATGTGCGAGAGATTTCTAGCTACGAACCTCGACACGGAGCATGTATCTGCGATACTGGGTCTAGCTGACTTGCTAGATCTCAAGAAGCTCAAGGAAGCTTGCATGGAGTTCATGGTCCCATCTGAGAGAATGGATGCCGTGGCTGCAAGTCAAGGGTACCAGCAGCTGAAGAGAGCATTTCCCTCTCTGGCGTTTGAAGTGTGGGAGAGGAGGAGCCGTGTTCGCAGGAATTAATTAACATCTTCTTGATTCAGAAGATATATGTGCGCGATGTCTGGAGATTTCCTTTTTGGTTATGTTTGTTTTGGTACATTTGATGATCTGACGAATGTTCTCTCAACAATGTGATGACTGATACGGTGCACGCGTGGTTGCACCTTAATGTAATGTGGCTATCTGGATCATGCAAATGGTTTTACCTTTAGATCGAGTTGTTTTTTAAACCTTACTCTCTTACCAACTCTCTTAAGTTTTTATGCTAGAAATTTGCCCCATCACTCCTTTTTATCTTAAATTGCCCATGAGTTGCTACTCGTGTTTTGATATCTTGTGTGTTCACTTTGATACTATTTTTAACCTTGCTAAATTTTGTCATTATTAAAATTCGGCAATGTAGCAAACCAAACACACTATCACCAACATATTCCTCCCAAACTGTAGTAGTTTTATTAATTTTCGCTATAAAAACTCTAAATAAATTTGGTAATGTGCCTCAAACATTTTTTTTTAAAAAAAATGTGTCTCAGAAAATGTGCTCAAACATTTAGTTTGTCTTTAGCACTACCAGAGTGAGACACACACACACACACATTTTGGTTTTCCATCGAATTATTATCCAATTCCATATGAATATCGATCTGATCGAACTTGTTTGATTAATCTATTGCAAAATACTTGGAGTCCTCCGTGTCGAATGGACCAAATCTCCATATATATAGCCGCATCTACAAACCACTTTTTTATGAGAAAATGTGACACACACACACACTTTGCTTTCCCGTCAAATTCTTATCCAATTCCATCTGAATATCGATCTGATCGAACTTTTTTGATTAATCTGTTGCAAAATACTTGGAGTCCTCCATGTCGAATGTGACACACACACTTTGCTTTCCCATCAAATTCTTATCCAATTCCATCTGAATATCGATCTGATTAAACTTGTTCGATTAATCTGTTGAAAAATACTTGGAGTCCTCCATGCTGAATGGACCAAAACTCTCCATATATAGCCACATCTACAAACCACTTTTTTACGAGAAAATGTGACAAACACACTTTGCTTTCCCGTCAAATTCTTATCCAGATCCATCTGAATATCGATCTGATCGAACTTGTTTGATTAATCTATTGAAAAATACTTAGGAGTCCTCAGTGTCGAATGGACCAAATCTCCATATATATAGCCACATCTACAAACCACTTTTTCTTATCCAATTCCATGATCGAACTTGTTCGGTTAATCTGTTGCAAGATACATGGAGCCCTCCGTGTCGAATGGACCAAATCTCTTTATATATAACCACATCTACAAACCACACGTAGATTGAATTGGTAACAATGGAGACGGCGCCGTCATCGTCCATGTCACCGGCCAGCGGCACGTACGTCTTGGACGTCCACGGCTTCAGCGGCCTGAGGAGGCAGCACTGCGGCGGCGGCGGCTGCATCGTCTCGCCGACGTTCACCGTCGCCGGCCTCGAGTGGGCCATCCGGTACCACCCGGAGGGCGACGCCGACGAGGTGACCGACGACGTGGCCGTGTTCGTCGTGCTGGTCACCAAGGACGCCACGGCGTGGGCGCACGTCGAATTCCGGCTGCTCGACCAGGCCGCCGGCGAGATGGTCACCTTCTTCGGGGAGAAGGATCCGATCTTGTTCGACTCCGGCAGCGAGGACCTGTCCACCTGGGGCACCGGCGAGCTCGCCGCCAGGAGCTTCCTCGACGGCTCGCCCTACGTCGCCGGCGACTGCCTCAAGATCGAGTGCGCCGTCGACGTCTGCCGCGACCGCCTCACGTTCCACCACGACACGCCGCCCTCCGGCGAGCCGTTCCGCCAGTACCCCGCCGACGACGAGCCGGCCGACGTCACCTTCAAGATCGCCGGTGAGACCTTCCCCGCCCATGTCTCCGTGCTCGCCGCCCGTGCTCCCGGCCTGCTCAACAACACGACGTCGCAGGCGGCAACCATCACCATCGACGACGACGACGACGACACGCCGGCGGCGGCGGCGGCATTCGGAGCGCTCCTCCACTTCGCCTACACCGACACGCTCCCCGTGGCGAGCGGCCTCGACGGCGCCGGCCACACGGCGCTGCTGGGGCGCCTCCTCGTCGCGGCGGGGCGGTACGGCATGGCGAGGCTGGGGGCGATCTGCGAGCGCGCCATGTGCAGGAGCCTCGACGCGGGGACGGCGGCGGACACGCTGGCCATGGCCGACGGCACGGCTTCGACGCGCTGAGGCGGCGGTGCGCCGAGTTCATGGCGTCGCCGGACAACTACTACTTCGTGGCGGGAAGCGTCAGCCATGGGCGCCTCTCCCCTTCACTCCGGCGAGAGGTTTGGAACAAGTACTATGACACGTGTTGCAGCAGATACGAGGAGGGGGCCCACATTCTGACAGCAACAAAGATTAAGCTAAGCAAAAAAAATAATACAGCAGACAATGTGGTTGATATATGATTCAGAAATTGTAAATATGTAGAAAGTAGTAGAATTTCTTATTTACGATATAGCGTTATTAGGACAACCAAAATATTGTTTTTATTGGTCAAGGACTTTTTTATCCACCACTTTCAATGGTGAGTTACTAATAGGCAATGCTTAATGTGTTTTTTTTTTTTGCTTTAGTACACCATGCTAGTATATTTCTATTTAGTAGAGTATACATTGTTTGCTTAGAGGGTGTTTAGATCGCGCGGGGGGGGGGGGTGGTGTTAAAGTTTTGAGCGTGTCACATCGGTCATCGAGTATTATTTAGGGTGTTGCATAGGGTGTTTGGGCACTAATAAAAAACAAACAAATTTATTAATCCTAATTAATCCGTCATTAGCAAATTTTTACTGTCGCGTACCACATTGTCAAATCATAGAGCAATTAGGCTTAAAAAATTCATCTCACAAATTAGTCATAATTTGTGTAATTAGTTACCCCCTCCATTTCACAATGTAAGGCATTCTAGCATTTCCCACATTCATATTAATTTTAATGAATCTAACATATATATCTATCTAGATTCATTAATATCAATATGAATGTAGTAAATGCTAGAATGACTTACATTATGAAACGGAGGAAGTATTTTTTTAGCCTATATTTAATACTACATGCAGGTGTTAATCTTACTTAAGATGAATTTGGCCGATTACAGAACTACCTAAGATGAATTTTACTGTCTTGGTTTTTTTTCCCTTTGAAATGTGGCTATTGAGTAATACTAATCAATATAAGTTTGGCAATTACCGCTTGCAAAGTCTGCTTTGTTTTTGTAGCTGACTTGTAAAAATTATGGGCAGTAGTATTTTTTTTTCCTTGATGAATTGCACCGCACAATCTATAGACTCTTCGTGCACCTCAATGTCGTGTAAAAATGATGGCCAAACTAGAAGAAAGAGAGGGAAAAAAAAGAGAGAAAAGAATGGACGCTTCGGCTTCGATGTCTGACAAATACAGTTAAATTCTCTCGACCCCTCTTGTTCTTCAATTTTAAAAAAATTCAAAAAATCTTCACATCTTGAGATTCCAAACTTGCTACTAGTATATAAATTCCTCCATGGTCATCAGCTCGATCGGTCACTCTCAGCAAGCTCGATCAGATTCAGAGATGGCATCGTCTCGCCCCATCTCGGAGAGCACCATCACGAGGTCGACGTGCGCGACGCGGACGGCGCGCGCCACGCACCAGTTCGAGATCGTCGGGTACAGCCTCAAGAGGTGCCTCGCCGCCGGCGAGTTCGTCCGGTCCTCCGCCTTCGCCGCCTGCGGCTACAGGTGGTCCGTCCGCGTCTACCCCGGCGGGTTCGGGCCGGCGCACCGGGAGTTCGTGTCGGTGTTCGTCAAGATGATGACCAACAGGGGCAAGGCGGCGGCGCGGTTCGACCTCCGGCTGATCGACCGCGCCACCGGGCTGCCCCGCTCGGTGTTCCGGGCGGCGCAGCCAGTGGTGTTCGACTACTCCGTCAAGCACAAGAAGTGCAAGGGCAAGCGGGGCACCCGCGCGTTCATGCGGCGGCGCGACCTCGAGTCGTCGGCGTTCGTCCGCGACGACCGCCTCATCGTCGAGTGCGTCATCGACGTCGTCGTCGCCAACGGCGGCGACGACGACACGGCGGCCGCGGCGTCCCCCCTCGCCGGCGTGCCGGCGCCGGACCTGTCGAGGCACCTCGGCGAGCTGCTGGAGCGGGCGGACGGCGTGGGCGCGGACGTCACGTTCGACGTCAGGGGGCAACCCTTCGCCGCCCACCGGATCGTGCTCGCCATGCGCTCGCCGGTGTTCATGGCATCGCTGTACGGGTCGATGAGGGAGCACCGCGCGCCGCGGATCGCCGTCGACGACATGGAGCCGGAGGTGTTCGACGCGCTCCTCCGCTTCGTCTACAGCGACACGCTGGCGCTCCCCGGCGACCTCGGGGAAGGCGAGTACAAGGAGATGGTGCGGCAGCTGCTGGAGGCGGCCGACCGGTACGCCATGGACAGGCTCAGGGTGATCTGCGAGCTCATCCTCTCCAGGAGCCTCGACGCCAAGACCGTCGCGGCGACGCTCGCCATGGCTGACCAGCACAGCACTACTGCGACGCGCTCAAGGATGTTTGTGTTCAGTTCATGGCCGTTGGGTTGGATGACCACAATTAATGATTGATATTTGAATATGATACTAGTTGAGTGCCCGTGCCTTGCTACGGGGCAAAAAGTATGCATCCATTTTAAGTTACATTGAATAAAATAATGTTAAGTAATCATTAAGTGTAAATTATAACAAAACCTTAATATAGCCCCACATTCAAAGAGACCACTCAATCTCCACACGCTTAACCTACAAAATTCATGTTTATGTAACGTTGCAAAATTGATAAGAAATGTATACATTACCAAATTGGATCATCTAGCCATAAATGACAAAAACAATGTATACCTTTCATATTGCCCTTCCATTATATCGATCACAATACCTTTTAAGAACTATCAACCATCTGAAACCAATGAAAATTTAAAGCTCCTCGCAACACTAAGAACCTCTATCCAAAATAGTGCTACAAGGGGATAGAACGGCATATAACCTTATAGGTTTCCCTTATTGGAAGGAAGTGTATTTTTTGCAACTCAAGGTGATGGTTATTTGCAAGTGCTTCAAATTACTGCGCCTAAGTTGATCTAGATCGGCTATGGCACTCGAGCTTGTCAATGAAGAAACCTTTAGGCTGAGTTCGTTTCAAAGGGTTCCCAACCCCTGTCCCTCCTCCGCGCGCACGCTTTTTAAACTGCTCAACGGTGTGTTTTTTTTAAAAAAGCTTTTATACGAAAGTTGTTTAAAAAATCATATTGATCCATTTGTTTAAAAAAATAGCTAATACTTAATTAATCATGTGCTAATGGACCACTCCGTTTTTCGTGCACAGGAGATTTGTTCCCAACCCACCCCAACGAACACAGCCTTAGAATGGTATCGACCAACTATGGGCTTCTCAATGATTTGTATAACTGCTAGACAACTCACTCATACCAGGGTCTTTATTCTAGATGCTCAGCAAGAAATTATTAGAACAAAGCTTAATATTACAGTCCAAAAAGGTACTTACCTGTGTACCATAATGATATGAAAATCCTTGCGCTGCAAACATAATACAGAGGAACATTGTTAAAATCTACAATAATGCATCCATTGTTAAGATATACAAACACAGGATGTATCGGTGTTAAAACTAAGGGACTCAAATAATTGTTTACCAGATAACATATTTGTTTGAATCATGTACAGATGACATCGCCAGTTCTCAACAAATTAAAGTAAAGATTCTAGCCCTAGCACTTGGGGAAAGCATACACAGAACAGATCACTCCTAATTAAGTCTCAACTTTAAGGAAGCCAATGTTTATGTAAATACATAATGTATTAAAGACATTTTCCCTGGGTTACATCTAGCATTCTGGCAAAAGGGCTATAATATTCAGTTGAATGACTAATAAAAACAAATATTTTCAGTGCTGTAAGCAGAAATCCTTTGGTAGTAATATAGATATGCTGGCACGATATCTTACTTTTCAAAAAAGTGACAAAAGATTCAATGTTTATGTAAATACATAATGTATTAAAGACATTTTCCCTGGGTTACATCTAGCATTCTGGCAAAAGGGCTAAAACATTCAGTTGGATGACTAATAAAAACAAACATTTTCAGTGCTGTAAGCAGAAATCCTTTGGTAGTAATATAGATATGCTGGCACGATATCTTACTTCTCAAAAAAGTGACAAAAGATTTAATCCGAGATAAGGATATACTGATATACAGAGCTCTAAAACAATCAAAGAGAAAAAAAAGGAGATCACTCAGCTAACACCTCATTTTTGCCTTCAAAGAGGTGGAGAAATCAAGCAATAAAACACTGCAGGAAAACAAGCCACTACACTCTTACTACCTTTTTTGTTCATGTGAAGAAGGGATTAGGCCATTAGGGAAAGTCAGAAAGAGATAAATTGGTGGCAAATAAACTTACTCAGATTTTAACATGAAAATAAACCAAAGAAACAATTTTGCCAAACCATATGCTATTAGCAAAATTGCTCTAACATATCAGCATTACACACGTACGTCTCAGATGTTTAGGTAAATATCCAAACTTATCCCCTATAACATGCAGTGATACAGGCAAACATGCAGGAGCAAAATATTTCCAAGCCATTGACTTACAGAAAATCAGCCAACCGGTTTGCAAGCAAATCTCTGCTGCTCTACTGTCACTCCAATGCATCAGTTATCAATTCAATCTGAAATACGTGCAGCATGAGCATAACTTGATGAACAATATATAGGATAGATAATCTGCAGCCTATCAGTTGCTTTCCATTGTTTATTTCATATGTAGCAGATGTAGAAAAAGGAGGTAGGGGTGACAACAGCGCAAGAAAATTTTGGAGCAGTAGAACACCATCGAACACAACAGCAATGACTAATAAGATGGACTCACATTCATGGTGCTGACTCTCTTCCTGCTCTATCCTCTGGAACTGCCTAATTTACCTGAACAAAAGAAGAGGAATTAACAAAGAGAAGTCTATTAAGCATAAAAGATACCGAACTGTGGTGGAGGGGATGGCGAGGAACGACACACCGGCCAGCAGCCCATTTTCAGGCAGAGGATTCAGATCGAGCGTCAGCGGTCGGACTTGGAGATGGATGATTTGCCTGAATGCCAGGACACATTGCAGCCTTTCAATCTAGCCGCGTGCGCAAACCCTAGGGTCCTCTCCAGCCGCCGCAGTGGTGCATGGACCTCCGCGTGCCAGTGTGCCACGGTGCTCTAGCGACCATACTAAAATGGTAAAACCTCACCGCTGCCCACTCAAGGCCGCCTCCTCCATCGTTACCGACCAGATGAATGGAGCAACGGTGGCGACGGTCAGGGAGATGCGGCATGGATGCCACGAGCGGTGGGTTGTGGCGTCGGCGACGAACTCCACTCGTGAGCGTAGGGCACAGCAAAAATGGCGACGATGCCCTGTTGCGGTGGCGGCGGCGGTCGAGGGCGGCGAGGAGGGAGCACGGGGCGGCGATGAGGCGGCGCGGTCAAGGGACGCGTGGGAGGGGGCGCGGGTCGCGGGGGCATCGACCCTTTTTACGCTTTTTTCCTTCCGGATCGCATGTACCCTTTTTTTTATTTTTGTCGCTCCAAAACGTGTGGATGTACGTTTCTATGTTGGATCGTGTGTCTATTTTAGCTTCACCATCATCAATCCGAATTTTTTTAGTAGTAGATATTTGAATTTACTTTTCTACTATAAAGATTTTGTTGCTATAAATATGATCTATGAGAAAATAATAGTTTAGAAGATGGTATCAAATTAAACTGTGGCCTTCTATACTGTGAAACAGCGTAACTACTCAGGAATTAGAGTTTGACCGGGTCTTATAATGTCTGACAAAGGTCCTACTTAGTACTCCGTATATGAATAAAACTCTAGTATATGTTTGTCATACCGAATAAAAGTAATTAGTTTCTATCTATATCTCTAAACTTACTTAAAATCTAAGTCACATATATGCTCTTATATATACCGGCCTCTAAGATTCAATACAACAAGTCAATAAGTCCAATATTTTCGGTATAACTCTCTCGATCTCCCTATATTATTCAACACTCTTTATAGTACTCACGGCGCTGCTAAAATCAAATTGTGATAGGTTGATCTAGGGTTTCCTTAATAATTAATTAATTAATCTCTCCCACACCTGCATCGCAACGCGTGAATCGATCGATCTCACAGCAGCAAGTGATCTGATTAGCAATGCCCATGGAGACGACGACGACGACGGCGACGGAGTCGATGAGCAAGATGGAGACAGTAAGAGGAACGCACCGGTTTACATTTCACGGCTACAGCTTGTGCAAGGGCGGCGGCGCCGGCCGGTGCATTCGCTCCGGCACCTTCACCGTCGGCGGCTACGACTGGTGCATCTGCTTCTACCCGGAGGGCCAGGGCGGCGGCGGCGGCGACCGGGAACACGTCTCGGTCAAGCTCAGGCTGGTCACCCGCTGCGCCACGGCCACCGCGTTCTACGAGCTCCGCCTGCTCGACCAGGACACCGGCCGCGCCGCCGCCGTCGCCCGGGCCTCCGGCGCGCCCAGGGTGTTCGCGTCGAGCAATCCCGGCACAGCGTGCTTCGGCCGCCGCGCGTTCATGGAGCGGAGCAAGCTGGAGGCGTCGCCCGCGTGCCTGCGCGGCGACAGCGTCGTCATCGACTGCGCCGTCCGAGTCGTCGTCCACGACCCCGTCGTCGCCGCCGTGCGGCGCCGCGAGGCGCCGGACGACGTCCCGCCGTCGAACATACTCCGGCAGCTGGTGGCGCAGGTGGAGTCCGAGGGCGCCGACGTGACGTTCGCCGTGCAGGGGGAGACGTTCACGGCGCACCGCCTGATGCTCGCCGCGCGGTCGCCGGTGTTCAAGGCGGAGCTCTACGGCGCCATGAAGGAGAAGGACGCCGACCACGTCATCGCCATCGTCGACGTGCAGCCGGCCGTGTTCAAGGCCCTCCTCCATTTCATCTACACCGACGACATGCCACCCGACCTCGGCCTCGCCGCCGCTGACGACGACGACACCGACAGAATCGACATGGCACGCCACCTGCTCGTCGCCGCCGACCGATACGCCGTCGAGAGGCTGCGGGTGATCTGCGAGCGCGTGCTCCGGCGAAGCCTCGGAGTCGAGACGGTGATCGACACGATGGCATTGGCCGAACAGCATAGCTGCGGCGAGCTCAAGGAAGCTTGCCTCGAGTTCATCGATTCTCATAGCAAGCGAATCGTGGAGAGTGATGGTTACAAGAACCTCAAGAGGGCGTGCCCTTTGCTCGTCGCAGACATGTGGGAGAGGATCGTCCTATCACGTCTAGAGTAAGGCTGTGTTTAGATCTAGGGGTGAAAAGTTTTGGGTGTCACATCGGATATACAGACACACATTTAAAGTATTAAACGTAAACTAATAACAAAACAAATTACAGATTTCGCCTATAAACTGCGATACGAATTTATTAAATCTAATTAATCCATCATTAGCAAATGTTTACTGTAGCACCACATTGTTAGATCATGGAGCAATTAATCTCAAGAGGGCGTGTCCGTTGGTCGTCGCAGACATGTGGGAAAGGATCGTCCGATCACGTCGAGAGTAAATATTAAAACATTGCTCATGCAATGTTGAGGGTGATATAGCCATGAACATTAATTAGCGAGATTTGGTTCGGTCCAACAAAAAGTATCTTTAAGGTACCGGTACCTCACGGTACCAAATCGTTTTTGATCTTTGGATCTAACAATGCACATCTTGCCTAGCTAGATCTAATGATCGGAAACGATTTAGTACCGTGACTCCGTGAGGTAACAGTACCTCGAGAAACTTTTTGTTGGACTGAAGCAAATCTCTTAATTAGCGATGGGTTTATCAAGCTCTTTTGATTTAATTCATTTTTTTTCTAAAATGGATTAATTTGTTCAACTGAGTTAGAGTAAAGTATATATGATGGCAAATCTGCTGCAAATTTTAAGTTGGTATTTGTTGTTTACTTCGTAGTTCATACGGCACACTAGAGTGTGTCGGGATGGAATCGGAACTACTTGACAAGGTGTGACAAGCTCGATAACAATAACTCTCGAATGTTCTCATCTTGGTAATGTGGCGATGATGACTTCTATAGAGTTGGGAATGATGACTTGTGTTGACTCACATCGCATGCTTTTTTAATTTTCGCCTTTCTACAGAGTTTATCGGTTTTCCCTATGGTTTTAATTTGGTCAGCTTTCCTCGTTAACTGATCGCCCTTTTTTTCTCTTTAGTGGGTTTTTAGTTCTTTGGGTGTAAAATTTTTGAAGTATATGGACGCACATTTAAAGTATTAAACGTAGACTAATAACAAAACAAATTACAGATTCCGCCTGTAAACTGCGAAACGAATTTATTAAGCCTAATTAATCCATCATTAGCTAATATTTACTATAGCATCACACTGTCAAATCATGGCGTAATTAGGCTCAAAAGATTCGTCTCGCAATTTACATGCAAACTGTGCAATTGGTTGTTTTGTTTCCCACATTTAATGCTCCATACATATATCCAAACATTTGATATGATGTTTTTGGCTAAAATTTTTTGTGATCTAAACAAGGCCTTAATACAAAACAGAAACTCTCTAAGCTCCTAAGTTTAACAAATCCTCATATGGAACCATTGTTAGGATGAAAATAAGTTAAATACACAATGTACTTCGATTATAATTGGGATAAATATACGGGGACACATTTATTGAAATTCCATCAGCCAAATTCAACCCAAATCAGACTAAATGAATCATATCCGTGCTGAGGAGAAACTATTACTCTCAAGGGGACATCCACTCGTTTGCATGTCATCCAAATAGTTATGAAAAAAAATAATAAAATTTAACAAGATAGATTAATATGTGATAAATCTGATCAAATTTAACTTCCACGAGTTGCAAAAAAATCATACATTAACTAGCCAAAAATCATTGTTTGCTAGACACTCCCTATACATTAACTAGCCGAGACTAATTGGGCCCAAAACTTCCGTACTCAGTTCGGCCCAGCCCAGTAACCAATGCCTCCAAAGTCCGATCCGGCCTCCCTCATCGTGATTTGTGACGTGCAGGGTACCAAGACACTATTCCAAATTCCGTTCCGACACGTACTTACCGTGCGCGACCAATACATACACACATCTCCGCCACACGTGCACCCGCACAGATCGCCGCCGCCGCAAACCTCGCCGCCGGCAGCGTCGTAGCTACGCATCACGTAATTAATGATGATGATGTCCTCCGCGGCGCCGGCTGGCCATCACGCCGGAGAAGAGCCGCCGCCGCCGTCGACGACGAGGAGCACCATGTCGACGTGCACGATGGGGACGGTGGAGGGCCACCACCGGTTCGCGATCCGCGGGTACAGCCGCCTGAGGGCGCTCCTCGCCGCCGGCGAGTACGTCCGGTCGGCCGCCTTCACCGTCGGCGGCTACGACTGGGCCGTCGTCTTCTACCCGCGCGGCGCCACGCACGCCGACCGCGACCACGCCGCCGTCTACGTCCAGCTCCTGACCGACCGCGCCGCCGCCGCCGCCACCTTCGACCTCCGCTTCGTCCGCGCCGACTCCGGCCGGCCGCTGTCCGTGCACCCGCCGCTCGCCGCGCCGAGGACGTTCAGCACCGTACTCCGCTCCTCCTCCGCCGCCATGTACGGCGTCAAGGTGGAGGCGATACAGGCGCTCCAGGCCAACTACGTCCGCCGCGACCGCCTCACCATCGACTGCGCCGTGCGCGTCGTCGGGAAGCCGCGGGTGTCCGCCGCCGCGCCGCTGACGGCGGCCGACGTCCCGCCGCCGGACCTCGCGGCGCACCTCGGCCGGCTCCTCGACCTCAAGTCCCACGCCGACGTCACGTTCGACGTGCGGGGAGTGCAGTTCGCCGCGCACCGGGTGGTGCTCGCCATGCGCTCCGCCGTCTTCGCCGCCGAGCTGTTCGGCCCGATGCGCAACAACGCCGGCGGCGCCATCAAGGTCGGCGACATGCAGCCCGCCGTGTTCAAGGTCCTTCTCGGCTTCATCTACACCGACACGCTCGCCGCCATGGACGACCTCGACGCCGACGAGGACGACAGGCGAGAGCTCGCCCGCCACCTGCTCGTCGCCGCCGACCGGTACGACATGGGCAGGCTGAAGCTCATCTGCGCGGACATGCTCGCGAGGAGCCTGACGGCGCAGACGGTGGCGAGCACATTGGCATTGGCCGACCGCCATGGCTGCCGCGGGCTCAGGGAAGCCTGCGTCGAGTTCGTCATCGCCATGGGTATGAACGATGAGGTGGTGATAAGCCGGCATCCTGACCAGCTCAGCTGTATCTCGCTCTTCAAATACTTCTTCTACCAGATCGGCAGCTTACTCAAAATCCACTAAACTGTGTTTAATTAGTGAAAGATTCAGAGTGATTGTGTTATTTCAACTTCTACTACTGTCGATAGACTCTTAATCTTTTCTTAATTAGTTTGTCCACTAAACTGTGTTACTAGTTAGACTCAAGAGTGTTTGATTGTTCCAACTTCTGATAGAGTCAATAGACGCTTAATCTTCTTAATTACTACAGTTTGTGGCTAATCTTCTTAATTAGTAGTTTGTGGTTGTTTACTGACCAGGTAGCTTTTTTGCAGTTTTGTTGATGTTCTGATATACCTTTATCAAAATCCTCTAAAAACTACTCCTCACGAGTAGTTTGTCTCCCCAGTAGCTTGTTGAGTATATTAATTAGTCAGTGAGCTTGATTTTTCTAACTTCTGATGCTGCCAATGGACATTTATATATTCTGAATTAGTTTGTGGTTTTTTACTAACCAGTTTAGTTCATGTTCTGATATGCCTGAGTTTGTAAATAATTTATCCTACAAGAAAAGGACGATTTTTCATACAAGAGTTTCTATGTGGTTTTACCAGTGAAACAAATTAACAGCGTGCTTATTATTTTTACTTCTGGTACTATCAATGAACGCTTAATCTTCGTAATCAGTTTTTGTTTGTTTACTCACCACTTAATTATTCATAGTTTGTGAAGGTTTACTGACTTGTAGGTACTCCTAGCTCAGTTGTAGTTTAGTTGATGTTCAGATACGAGTGAGTTTGTAGATATTTTTTCCTGCAGGAAAAGAAATAAAGCTAATGCAGTTCAGGTCCAACTATTCACTCTGTAATTTTACTAGTGAAACAGAACAAGATTTGCTCTGAAAATTCTGGATGAACAACAGGCACTTGTCCCCTCTGATAATTCTGAATGAAACAACAGACAAACATGCACTAAAGTTCTGAATGAACATCATAACAAACAGACTAAAATTTCTGAATGAACAGCAGAACAAGCAGATTCTGCACAACAAGCAGAACAAACAGACTCAGAAATTCTGGATGAACAACACAACAAACAAGTTGTGAACAAAACAACAATCAGATTCTCTGAATGAACAAGAGAAACAACACAACAGCAGGCTCTGCACAAAACAACAATCAGATTGTCTGAATGAACAACAGAACAGACAAGAGTACTCTGAACAAGAGAACAATTAGACACAACCCTTCAAGTCTGATCAACAAAAAACAATCAGGTACCACTACCACATGATGAAATACAGTATATCGCCCCTGGTTTGTGTAATCAGTACACCAAGTAGTAACTGATTACTTGATTAGCCATCTGCAACACAAGAATAAAACTGCATACTTGAAAACTTCAGCAACAAGCATAAAACTGCATACTTGATTAGCCATCTGAAACACAAGCATAAAACTTCAGCAACACAAGCATAAAACTGCATACTTGATTAGCCATCTGAAACACAAGCATAAAACTTCATAAACCATACAGGAATACCACTCTACAAGTACAGCAAAGGACATAATCAATTTCTCAGGTCAAACAGGTGATTAGTAATCTGCAACCCAAGCTGCATAAACCATACAGGAATACCACCCTGCAAGTACAGCAGAGTACAAGAGGCATCAGATTTGAATCAGGAGACAGAGACAAAATTTCAGATCAGATCTGGCCAAGAAACATTCACACAAAGTACTCATCCAAATGCTGATGAATATTTTCTTCTCGGTTCATAATAGATAGATTCATAGATAGATCAGACAGTGCAAATCCATGGCTTGTCTCTCAAACCGACCCAACGAAACAAAAAGATTAAACCACTCCAAGACTCCCATCCCATTACATAGAACGACGACGACGACGAACCGATAGATCCATAGCTTTCCTAACGAGATCTACGACTACTAATAAGATAGAACTGATCACCCGCTGCTCGGTGATTCAGTGAGGGAGGGGGAGCAAAACGCATCATGGGAGGGAGCTGGATCTGACGCCGCGAGCAGCGCCTAGTAGGTCTTGCTGGGGCACTCGCGAGCGATGTGGCCGGTCTCGCCGCAGTTGTAGCACCCGCCGCCGCCGCCGCCACCACCACCGCCGCGGTAGCCGCCGCCACCACCACCGTAGCCACCACCGCCGCCTCCTCCCTGGGAGCAGTCCCTGGCCATGTGGCCCTCCTCGCCGCACTTGTAGCACGCGCGGCTGCCTCCGCCGCCGCCGCCGCCGTACCCGCCGCCGCCTCCGTAGCCGCGGTCGCCCCCGCCGTAGCCGCCGCCACCGCCGCCGTAGCCGCGGTCACCGCCGTAGCGGCCGCCGCCTCCGCCCCCGCCGTAGCCGCGGTCCCCGCCGCCGCTGGGACGGGATCCGCCGGTGAGCGCCCCGCCCCCCGGCGCGGTGACGTCCACGGCCTTGGTGCGGCCGTCGTTGCCGGATCCGACGGAGAACTCGACGACGTCGCCGTCGTTGAGGCTGCGGTAGCCGTCGGACTTGAGCGAGGATTGGTGGACGAAGAGATCCTCGCCGCCGTCGTCGGGGGTGATGAAGCCGAACCCCTTGGTGGCGTCGAACCACTTCACCGTCCCCTTCACCCTCTCCGACGCCATCTCGACCTCGCCCTCGCCCTCTCGCCGCCGCCGCCGCCGCAACCCAAAACCCTAGAAACCCTAGATCGGTGTGGGAGTGGAAGCGAATGGGAGGAGAAGCCGCCGCCGGGTGGGCTATTTAACGGCCCAAAAAAAATCTTTGCATTAAATTACTACCTCGAAAAAAAATCTTTTCATTAATTGCCTCTTTATTTTGGAATATTTACCGAGATATTCCCCGCGGCATCGGCCCATCAAACTCTTCCTCTCCCGACTGACATCTCGGCCCACTTAGGCGGCCCAACTTCATAGTTTCGGTCCGACACGTTCAAGGGAAGGGAACAGAGATGGATTTTGTTTCGGACTTGATTTGTAAATTTGCACGAAATTTATACAAAATTAGCGGTGGATTCGGATTAGTGCGCGTAACAAAGTTCACACGATGGCGACGGAGTGCACGACGTCGACGAGCACGACGGCGACGGTGGAGGGGCGGCACAGGTTCCGCGTCGCCGGGTACGGCGCCACCAAGGGCGCCGCGCCCGGCCACCGCGTGGCGTCGGGGACCTTCACCGTCGGCGGGTTCGACTGGGCCGTCGTGTTCTACCCGGAGGGCGTCACGGCCGCCGACATGGACTTCGTCTCGGTCTACCTCGAGCTCAAGAACGCCGCCGCCGCCGCTGGCGGCGGCGGAGGCGGCGCGGTGGCGCGCGCGTTCTACGACCTCAGGCTGATCCACCCGGCCACCGGCGAGCCGCGGTCCGTGCGCTGGCCCATGGACGGCTCGACGTCGCGCGTGTTCTCCCAGGCGTTCCCGGCGTGGGGGCACCTGAGGTTCATGCGGCGGCGCGAGCTGGAGGAGATGGGGTTCGTCCGCGACGACCGCCTCACCATCGAGTGCGTCGTCAACGTCGTCCTGGACCCCGTCGTCACCGCCGGCGACGCGCCGGAGCTCGACCATCCGCCGTCGAACATCCTCGGCCACCTCGCCGGGCTCCTCGGCGACAAGGGCACCGCCGACGTGACGCTCGTCGTGCGGGGCGAGGAGTTCGCCGCGCACCGGGCGGTGCTCGCCATGCGTTCGCCGGTGTTCAAGGCGGCGCTCTACGGGCCAATGAAGGAGTCCACGGACGCGAACGCCGGCCGCGTCGCCATCGACAGCGTCGAGCCGGCGGTGTTCCGGGCTCTCCTCCACTTCATCTACACCGACACGACCGCCGCCATGGACGACCTCGACGACGACGACGACGACAAGGCGCAGATGATCATGCACCTTCTCGAGGCCGCCGACCGGTACGACGTCGAGAGGCTGAAGCTGATCTGCGAGCTCATGCTCTGCAAGAGCATCGCCGTGGACACCGTCGCGGCGACGCTGGCAATGGCGGATCAGCACCATTGCCAGAAGCTCAAGGAGGCGTGCATCGAGTTCTTGGCCACCTCCAAGAAGATGGAAGGCGTCATGGAAAGCCAAGGGTACGAGAAGATGAAGCTATCTTGCCCTTCTTTCATGGTGGATTTGTGGGAGATAATAGGCAGGAAGATGACCTCTTATTCTGTTATTCCCAATATCTATGCAAGAGACAAGGACTAATTTTCTTGAATTTCCTTGCAAATTCGCATCAAAATGCCAGCATGTAACCATAAACCATTGACTGATTCTAGTTTGGAGATAATGATCACAGTCTTGCTACTTCCCGCGATCCTCAACATCTTGGCAAAAATCTGAAATGTTTGAAGTTAAGGATAAGATTTGATCAAAAATTTAAAATTTCGACCATCAAGTTTATCAGTTTATCAAATTTAATAAGTTTATGATATAATGATATTGCTTTTTGATGCAAATATATGTATACCATTTTTTTTGTTTTTAAGCTAATTAACCATTTAAAAAATATTGATTAGAATTATAAAGTTTTATCCGATTCATGACATAAACAACAAGTATTTATAACCGAAGGAAGTATTCAGTATTGACAACTAGGCTAGCTGAGCAACTTGAAGATACATAGCCGTTCATATGATTTGTGTTCCGGAGTTGGTCAGCCGCAATGTTGTAACTCATCTGCTCACATCTCGTACGACATTTCAAGATATGGAGGCTTCTTCTTGTTTTGGTTGACACATTTCTGTTCTACGCTCTGTAAACAACAGGATGTACACTGCATGCACACCAGACGAATGTATATATACGTGAGTGGCCGTGAACAGACACGTATATCTCATCAAAATTTTGATTGATCACTGCCATAAATCCACAACCGATGTTTGAGTGAATTCGACTTGCAATCTTTCTGTCTGTCTTTTGTTTCTTTCTTGTTTTGTTTTGAGTTTATGTGTAATCATTATCTAAAAAAACAATCTGTTTATATTTCTGTTTGTGTTTCATGAAACGGATTAGTAATGTTCTCAGGGCCCAGGTCTAACCCGAATCCAGGCCTTCGAGAGGGCCTATCTAAAACACTATATTATCGTATGATCCAATTTCATGGCGTACGTGCTCGTGCTGGTCTTCTTCGTCTCCCCAAGTTCTCATCTGCTATTGCGCAATGGGCGCCTGCGCCTCAGCTTCGCGGCCGCCGCCGTCGCCGCGCCACGGCTGCTCTCCGCCGACGCCGACGATGACATGGACGGCGTCGACGTGCACGACGCCGATAGCGCAGGGCGCGCACGCGTTCACCGTCTACCAGCACGGCCTCGTCAAGAGGACCACCGCCGCCGGCGAGTTCGTCCGGTCGGGAACCTTCGCCGTCGGCGGCTACGACTGGGCCGTCAGGTACTACCCCAACGGCGACAGCGCCGCCGAGGCGGCGTGCCGCCAGCCGTCGGTGGTCCTCGAGCTCATGACCGCCGACGCCGCGGCGTCCGTGGTCTACGAGCTCAAGGCCGTCGACCAGGTCACCGGCGAGCGCCTCGTCCTCCGCGAGGACAAGACGGCGGCGTTCGACACCAGGAACGGCCAGTTCAGCTGCTCCGGCGTGCAGTTCGTCGAGACGCCGGCGTTCCTCGCCGGCGACTTCCTCTCGATCGAGTGTATAGTCACGATCTTCGGCGAGCCACGCGTCTCAAAGACGAACAAGATGCCACAGCCGCCGCCGCCGCCGCCGCCGCCGCCGGCGGAGACAAGCGATGTCTCATAGACAATAAAGAAAAACAACTATACTACTGTATTGCTCTCATGTCATGGTTTAATACAAACTGGTCAAACTACTGTGTTGCTCTCATGGTTTTTGTCTCTGATGAAAACAATTACAATTGCTTACATTAAACGAACAGTAGGTTAAGCAGAAAAGAAGCTGTGGTTCAACCATGTTCTTCTAGTGTAGACAAGCATTGGGTCTGAACAGATTAATTCCAGGTTTATAGCTGCATTACCTCTGTCGAAGACGAAAATTCGCCGTTGATCTTACACATCATGGCATCATCAATCTCCACCCTAGTCCAGAGCTTTGGAAAAGAATAAGGAATCGTAACAGATGCAACAGATTCTTGGTTGCTCAATTCATTCTTCTTTCCAAACAGCTGCGCCGCAATACCAGAGCAGATCTTCAGATCAACCTCACTCTGTGCTCTTATCATCTTAGCAAGGAGCTCAGTCATCTTTGCACCTCTCTCCATTTGCTGCTTGATGGATAACTTGACAGGCTTTGGATGGTCATCTGGATTTTGGTCAGGAGGGTTGTCATCCTCGTAGGTGCTTTTGCTTTCTAGCAATTCCTTTATCTTCTGGTCCAAAATAGTAGCAATCCTGTCCCGGAAGCCATCTGCATTTGCAGAGTCCGATTTCAGCCTCACCTTTGCCTCGGAAACCAATGTTTCCATCCTCTCTTCTGAAGAAGTTGCTTCAGGTTCAGGTTCATCAGCAGCATCTTCTGTAAGACCGAACGTTTCCTCCAGTAACCCAACATTCTGTGTATACCTTTCATACGCTTCATTTTCAGCATCGATGTCTCCTTGGATATGTTCTTTTAGCTTCTCAAACCTCCACTTGTTTATGCCCATAACATCCTGTAATATAAATGCTTAACTCCTTAATCATGGTCTCATCATGGAAGAAAAGAAACGAAACTAAACAATGAACAATCGCAAACAATGGAACAGCTAGAACCTTTTTGGCAAGGGACTTCTTTGTTCGGAGGGAATTCAGGAAATGATGGGGAAGCCTTTGCAGAGAAGCCAACCTTGATGAACTGCAGCAGCAAATTTCAAGCAAGCATCAGAAATAATGACAGATTTTACCATAAGATAAAACTCCTGGTTCAGAAGGTTACCCGGTTGAAGGTATATTAGCTGATGGTTGCTCTGACAGAGGAGCTGTTGACAGAGGTGGCTTATCTGGCAATGTGTTGTTCTGTTTCAGAACTGTCATGATTGGTGATAAGAGGTGGTTAGTGGCTTTTTCAAAAATATTAGAAAAATACAGAGTCCAGACAAATCACAGAAAATATGTAGACAGGCATAACATCATAGCCATAAATCAAAATTTCTTGTATGTAACCAAATGTTGCTAATCCCTTATACACCAGAGAGAATAAATTTTGACAGCAACATTCAGTGCCATATAATGAAGAGTATAGAGAGAGATGAATATAATTCGAAAGCAGATTTAAGAGGTACAATACAACAAATAAGAGCCCTTCAAGGTACACCCATGAGGCCATTATCCCTCCAAAACACATTTCTGAAGGTCCATTTGATTTTAGAGACCAAGGCAATAATAATGCTATGGCAAGGGTCAATTTAATTTTAGAAACCAAGGTTGTCATGGGCTCATGGCACTCAAGTGAGTCATTACCACAGTCACTAGATCATGATACAATACTGTCGTTCCTGAACCTGTCCCAGTTTGCTGGTCACAGTTGATGCAGGTCACCTCCAGGCCGTGTTTGGTTATTAGAGGCATCCAAATCAGGTACAGAAACCTACCTGATTTTGATTGGGGCAACAGTGGCCAGGTTCCTCGCCATTCAGGTGGTGCTGGCATGTGTGAAGGTGTGTGGTGGCACACTGCAGGGGATAATCCAGCAGTAGAAGATGGGGACCAAGTTGCTACACCCTGTGATCTCGTGGCCCTCAAGGTTCTCTGTCGCCGATGCAAGACAAGTCAGCAGAAGAGGGGAGGAGGTTTGGAGAAGACTAGGGCATTTGCTTATAAAAGATGGTGGCAAGGGTGTCTGCTGAAAGCCTGAAACTGCATCGATGGCGAGGATATGAGATTATGTTAGAACTGAGGAGATAGAGCAACAGAATTGTGTGGCTGGATGGGTCACATGTCTGATGTCTCTACAACCCAAATATTTATTTGTCTCATTTCGTGTTCCCTTCCTTGTAGTGTAAAACTGATTATCTTCCTTGGGTGTTTGTGTATGACATACCATAAAGTAGTAGTAATTTATTTTATACCATATAATTTATTTTGACAGACCAAGTAGCTTGTTCATCGACCTAGATTCATTGGTTCAGGTTCAGGGTCACATCCCACATCCTAAACTACAGTCCTGAAGAAAACTGCCGCTGTTTGATCCAACCTGACAAACATACTGAAATTCTTCTCTACACCCTTTCCCTCATTTCCTTCCCTAAACCCTACAAAATATGAAGATCAAACATTCTGTTGACCAACATCATCCCACTATTTGAGCAGCCTGATGGAGAAGCATTAATTGGTTGTTAATGTTGTTCAATTGCACGCGACAACATTGTCAGTACTGAGAAAAATAAAAATCCAAAATGGAACAAAACGTTATAATAATGCATTTCTATACCTGTAGTTTCCCTTTTAGATGTTGAAATGAGCATGTTCAAATCTTATCATTATAAGTTTGATCAACGGTCCATAAGAAAGTGACCGTACCTTAAAATTCCTCCATAATTGAAGTATCCCACTACCCCACTTACAAGCAATTGTCCTAGCTTTGATGCTAAGTAGCTAAACGTGATAAGCATTCCCAGAATAAATTGTAAACAATAAAACAGGTAAATCTCCAACTGCCAAACAATGAGTAATAGTCCACAGAAAGGTAAAACTGCAAGACCAAATCACGCCTGTCAAAAAAATTGGTTGGATCAAATGATCGAATAAGTGGATGTACAGGTATTCAGTCAGCGGCTTAATACAACTAATTACAAGCACAATTCGTTGCACAGGAGCAGATATATACTCAAATGGTACTAGCATTACACATACATACCATGAATGTGGCAAGGATTCTGAGCCTTGTAGCAGCAGCTCTTACAACACTGGAACGGGCACCTGAAAGGCCAAGCATTACATTACACAGAATGAATTAAAAAAAATATCCAGGAGCGACATGCCGATACAGCGCATCGATTTCTCTTAGAAAACCATCACTACAAATCCCCAAAACAAAAAAAAAAAAATCTTACCGCGAGCGCGCAACGTTGCCGCACTGGATGCACTTGGGCTTGTTGAGGCCGCGCAGGTTGGGCTTGGGCATGTCGAAGGCGGACGCCGGGGGCAGCTTCTGCGGCGTCGTCCCATTGCCGTTGGCGACCGCGACCGCGGGTGCCGACGAGTCGCTGGCCGCCTTCCCGCTGGATGCCGGCGACGACGCGGCCATAGCGAACCCGCCGTGAACCACCCCGCAACTCCGCACAGGACCAGCGGTTGGGATTCCGGGGAACCGGAGGCCTCGACGGCGGCGGTGCTCCGGCGAGCTAGGGTTTCTTCTTTTTTTTTTCTTTTGTGTCTCTCCTGCTTTTCTTTTCTTGAGTCGAGTCGAATCCAATCCAATCGTGCGGTGGCTTCCCGAGACGAACGGTTTGATGTGGGCTGACAAGGTGGGCCCGGTGGTGTAATTGGGCTGGGCCCAATTGACCAAGTCTATTCTACCAAGGCGATGACGCCGGCGAGTTCGTCCGTATCGACGCCTTCTCACTTCGCAGCCGCCGCCGCCGCCGGCGCCACCGAATTCAACCCCAACGGCGACGGCGGAAGAAGAGGATTTTCGCCGGCGACGGAGGTGACGGAAGTGTGCCCTTTTTTTAAGTAAATTTTTCATCTACACAAACCGTTGGCCCCATTATTTCGCTTATCTTGTGCTTATTGTCCAGCTTACTAGTAGCAAACAAAAAATAATTTGTACGTAAAATTTTTATATGTGTGTGTCTTTACTGATATAAAGGCCAATGTTGTAAAATAAATCACGATGAAAAAATCCACAAAATCAACTTCATAATTAAGTCTTAAAATTAACTTGACTTATGGTATAAACATAAGTGAAACAATGGAGACACATTTTTTAAAAAATAATGGTTAATGATTTCATACAGAAACAGTTCCAAAGTATCTCTGAAATCTAAGTTCAAATGCTTCGATTATAAAGTGGCTTGGCTCATTTTTGAGTCATCAACAAGCATACAGAAAAGTTCCATGCATTTTTTTTCTTTTTTCCTCTTTTTTCAGTCATGGTAGCTACAAAAATCATAGGCAAACACCAGCTGGTGTTCTTCAGCCTAGCACACACTGAAACACATAGATACAGTCATACACACACTAATCATCAATCACACAATCACATAAACCAAAACAAAGCTCTCTGCTATGCTTACTGAGAGAGTAAGCTAGAATTATCCCCTTCTCCACATTTTTTTAACTTCCTACTGGGTGCTGTTTCTGACATGCACAAGATTCCTCAGCTCTTCAAATGCATCCATGGTCTCTGGATCGAATCCCCCAGCAAACTGCAAAAATGAGCGGCAATTTAGAATATGCAGCTGACATTAAGGTTTAAATAACACATCTTAATATGTCATAACAAGAGTTAACAGCAGAAAATAGCACAAACGTAATGCAGAAATAACCATAATGTTTCTGAAGGACATAAAACATATACAAGCACCTGTGGAAAATAAATATGTGCAATTATATACGGAATGGGAATCAGGAGGCAGATGAAACAATTATGAGATGTGGTATAACATAATTGCCCAAGTATACATCTAATCAGAATGGAGTATGCAGTATGCACAGGGGAATTTTCTTTTTGTGGAGTTCCTGCTAGAAATGTGTTACCTGATGCATTCTGAAGGCAAATCTCACAGCCTGAAGTAGCATATACTCCAAAGCTGGATCTTTGTTCAGAGGTCCCATGTATTGAAGTTCCATAGCAACTCTTTTCATGTACATCTTTGCTAATTTGACAGAAGAAAATTTTATCTGCAGTTATCAAGGAAATAGAAAGACAACGATTACTCCAGTTAATAGAAAGGCAATGATTAATCCAACAGGATGTAAACGATGGTCTAGGTGATCGTTGCAAACTGCTTCTGTTTTACAACCTTTTTGTGGTATCAACATAATCTGCAAAATGTTCACAAGCAAACAACAGTGGTACCTATGCAAAGCGTACCACATTCCTAAGTTTCAGTAGATGAAAATAACCTTAGATACTATATAACAAGCACCTCAAGTTAACCAATAGGTACTTGAAAACTTATCCTGGTAGTCTCCATGCTATCTATTCTGAATACTGGTAACCAACAAATTTTACTTTTTGCAGGCCAAGCATCATAATTCTGACTAGGTCATTTCCTGTATCATATGCTGACAACAATGTAGCACTAAGAAATCAAACCTTCAAATACGGAAAATTATAGAACATATACCTTGCCAATAAGATTGTTGTCGAGCATCCAGTCAGTAGGAATATTAAACTCTTTACACTGTCTCATCGTAGCATCCCTTGTCCTCAGAAGATTGTAGACACTCCGCTCAGTCCTGAATTAAGAATGCAAATGAAAATATCAGTATTCCCATTTAAGTTTACCACTATTTCTGTTAAATGTATGTAATCTGTATACTTATAGTAAATTTAGTCGTACTTTTCTGATATTGTAACCATTTTCTTCAGTGCAATGTCACATGGAAGGCGAGGATCATCTTTATAGTTTGAAACTTCAGATTCCAATTTTTTCAGGTCTTGGTAGCCAAAAGCTGCCTCTCGTAGAGTATCTGCCTTCCTTTCTGGCCAATCAAAATGCTTCAGCACTGCTCTCTCATCCACCTTCAAGTAATGCAATTACATGAGTGAAAAAACAAAGTAAATTGCTCAGAGTATAGTGCTACTGAACATTCATACCAGGAAACCAAGCTCATCATCAAGCCATTTCACAAATGCAACCACATCTTCTATATCTTTGTAAGCTGCATTGGTCACCTCCTTGATCAATGATTTCACAAATTCACCTTGAGTCTCAACATCAGCCTTGATCTGAAAATGAACAAAGAGTAAAGTAAATAGCCATACATCAGTGCGAGAACCAGCTAGCTTTTCATTGGTATCTACAATTCTACATATGTCCAATAATCTGAGCAGAATATTCTACTTACAGCCTGCAAATGCGAAGAACGGTTCTCAATTTCACCAATCATGCTACTCCGCACATTTGCTGAGTTAGCAGTTTCACAGATTCCACTCCCAGAAGTATCCTTTTTTGAGTCCCTTCTCATAAGTGAATGGTAAAGCTCTGCAACTTGTGGTGCCCTCTTCATGACCCCAGCGTTTCTTGTGGAGAACTTTGGAGGCGGTGGCGGTGGCGGAGGCTTTGGTGGATTCGCAGCTGATCCATTTGATGGACCAGAATGTGGCACAGAAACTGAAGGTCTAGGAGGAGGGTTTGGAATACGCAAGGCACGCTTTTCAACATCCATACTTTGAGACTTGCATACTTCTGACTTGCCAAGAAGAAATCTTGAGCTTTCAGATCGACCAAAATCATACTTATCCACAAGAAGTTCACGCTTCTCCCTGATTGTCTCATCCTTATTACAGGAGATTGCCTCATCTGTTGCTTCAGGCAGGCAGATAAAGGTATCAGATTGGCGCCTCTTCACAATGCTAAACTCCTGAGCACATCCTTTTGGTCCACCTAGTGAGTGCCTGCGTGTCGGGCTTCTGCATTCTGCAGCTTCAATCCATGCTCTGTCAAGAAGGGCCTCCTTTTTAGATGCTTCACAATTCTTATCATTCTGAGACCATTGTTTGATACGCTCAGCAATGCTGAACTTCTTGTGATCAGAACTGTTCTGATCAAGTCTTGCATCACCATCACAATCATCAACATGACAAGCAATTTCATCATTATAATCTGCATCTGTCATTGCTCTAGCTGCTTGATCTGAGTTACTGAGCTCATGACGTAGACAAGAATTGATCCACCGAAGATAGGCAAGCTCCTCAACTTCAGTTAGCCGACTCATTTGCAGACCCTCAACCTGCTTGCTCAAGTTTGCATTTGTGTGCCGCAATAATGAAGCCTCAGCTTGAACCTTTGCAACTATCTCACTCTGGTGACAATAAGCATGGTATAGAAAAGGTTAGCTGGAAACAAACTACGACTCAACCCACCTGAAAAATAATTTAGTTTAAGTAATGTTACCTCGGCATTCTTTTCAATGACAGCCAATTTGGACTCTGCTGAAGAGAGTTTAATTGCGAGGTTTCGTTTCTGAAATTGAAGCTCTTTGTTTAAACGTCGCAGTTCAACAACTTCAATCTCCAAGTTTTCTGAAGAAGATGCATTGCCCCCATTCATACTAGAAACCCGATTGCCATGCCCATCCAACCTTGCATTTTCTTCATGCTGCTCTACCATACAAGATAGAGCTGATAGCTGTTCAGAAAGGCTTGTTTTCTCAACTTCTAGTGAAGTTTTAAGTCGCACAAGCCTGTCAATTTCATTCTTCCTTGAATCAAGATCCTTTTCAAGTTCCGAAACTCTAGGATTTTCTCTGCATTGCCGCAACTCTGACTGTAATGCTAGTTCCCTTTCCTTTGACTCACGTAGTTGTTCCCTGAGATGATCCAACTCAAGAAAAAGATCATGAGATGCTGGGGACCTGATGCCATGGCAATCAAAGACATGGGGGTGAACCTGAGCACCAGCAGGTGAACAAGGGAAATCTCCCATAAGAGATCTCTTAACCCTAGAATGATATGGAATCTGTTGGTTGCTGGTGTTAACATTTTCCACACTTGCAAGAGGTGGCTTCTTGCTTGCAGCAGCTGCTGTCTTCTTGGTCTTTTTGTCAGCTGTGAACCCTTTGACAATTTGGGAACCCCAAGAGGATCCAAATTTTGGCTTGAGCACATTTATATTGCTTTTGGAGTCAACCCTTGATCTGCATGGCTTTGTTTGGTTGTCAAACATAATATCTTCTTTCATCTTGTAGCGATTTTGCCTGACCCAGAACACTAACCATGCAGAGGTGACTCGACTTGATTAAAATGTTCCAGTACCTGTACTAACACCTGCAAATAAGTGAGAAAAACATGAATTGAGCTAGCAACCAAACATCAATAACACAGATGAAAACAAGAATAAAGAAAAAAAATGAAGAACCAGATATGAATGCCTTTTAAAATGGATGCCTTCAAAAATTGTCCATAAATAAGGAAATAAAGCATCAATTCAGGAGTACTAGACTAAATGAATTCTTTATTGCAATGCTACCCAGAACCATATCAAACCACATCTTTAACTACTTCCATGGAGTCCATTTGTGTACTACTCTGAAGAGAGCAACATTTAAGCAGCATTACAACTGCCTTTATCTCTCTCTTTAGAAGCATTTGTATGAAGCAAATAAATAACATCAAGGTCTGAGCAAATCAAGCTTAATACTTTTTTGAGATTATCGTTTCCAAAGGCTAAAAAGAAGCACTGCCTTTCAATTTTTTTGTGGCCGTACAGTACACATTTGTAGCATCGACCATCAATGCATCGTCG